AGAGTCCAAATCCGGCAAATCGTTTTGTGAAAAAAACTGATTTTTGAAAGAAGTGCCAAACATGGGCTGTTATTCTCAAGGTAGTTGTAGACCAGAATTCTATGATCTTCATCCACGCAACAGCCATAGAGCTTGACTAAATTTTGGTGCTCTATATCTGAAATCACTCTAATCTCTGTCAAGAACTCCTTTACTCCTTGACTTGATTCAGGTGAAAGAACCTTTATAGCAGCAATATTCCCATTTTTAAGCTGTCCCTAACTATCAATATGCAAATTTTATTTGAAAACAAGGTGTTAGTCTATGGAAGCAAGACTATAAATTAGTATTTTATTATATGATGATAAAGTAAGCATTCTTGTGGAAATATGTCAACCAAATATATGCCTATTACCTTATGATCCATGCTTTCTAGAGCTAGTAGGGCATCTTCTTGACTAGTGTACTGAATAAAAGCATACCCCTTTGACCTCTTCACCTTTTCATCCACAACAAGCTTAATTATCAGTGCAACTAGATAGAATTAGCAAACTTGAAGCATGTAATGGAACAAATATGTAGACAGGACACTTTCTTTTCTTCTTTTCATGAACCAAGGAAAAAAAATATATGATTAAGAAGTGCATCTTTATCCAACTCAGCACAGAAAACAGCTGCAAAATGAACTCCCAATCCTAATACAATATCGGACCAGTAGTGCAGTAGAACATCAAAACCAGACTTTCTCAGCACTGCCTCACTCCATTTTGTAATCCAAGAGCATAACAAAACAGATCAGCAATGATGCACAAAACAGATCAGTACAGGCTGTAGTACAGATCAACAATAACAAGCTCTATTTTAAGCAGAAGAACAGCACAACAAAAGCAAGGCCAATTTGTCACCATTCAAGAATCAAAAAAATCAACAAGTGCAAGCAAACACACCATATAAATTGATATTTACTACTAAGCTTGTATATCTAATGTTTACAGTAAACCAGCATCTAGTAGCAGCCGCCTAGCAAGCAGCAGCCACCAGGGCAGCAGCAGTAGAAGAAGACCAACAAGCAACAGCAGCCGCAGCAGACCAATAGCTGCAGCAAAGCCTTATTCCCAACTACTTGGGGCCGACAACATGACTTCAGCTTTTCCATTCCATTGGATCAAAGGCCATAGTTTCATTAAAATCAAAAGTAAACCAACGTTTCTTTCAATTATGTAATGTAACAAATAAACTAACAACATTTTGAGGGAAGAGACCGGAGGGGAGTAGATGCATGCAATGCGTTTACAAATTTCAAACAATTTTGCACCGTTAAATTTGGAAGGCTTATCATTGTCATGTTCACTTGCAACCCTAGAGCATTATACATGCTTTACCACTTCAAGGGAATGAATAATGTCTTAAGAAATCTTTATTTAAAATCTGGTGTAGGTTTACTATTGTCGAAATAATCATGACAAATGCAGTAAAATATTCATTCTTTATTTATATTCAACAGGTTATAACTTCTAATTAATTTAAATTGATACAGTGGAGGCTTTTCCAATCTAGTTATTTCAACAATTGTCTATACATTCTAAACATCCAAAAACTAGCCTTAATTCAAAACAATCCAAAAAGAACTATCCTTAAGTAATAATTGTCCAAAAAGTTATAAACTACTGAAAAAGTATATCATATATAAGTTTCTAAACAAGTGTATCTGAGTATGCATATGGAGAGTTTGTCTTGGTTTGCATGCAAGCTGTGCCACTTACAAACAATTGATAAAAGTTGGTCAAATAAACCAACTAAACAAACAAAAGTTATCATGAGTAGTCTAAAAATAACGAATTTAACAATTTTATGTTTAATAAGATAATTGTTTACAACACATTAAAGTCCCTTCCGATTGTCCAAATATAGGTTGGAAAGAAAAATTCAAATCAACCTTGTATTATCCTGCAAACACTTTATAAATGTTGTTTGAAGCTGCGGAAGAAAAGGTTTCAGGGCCATACCACCCTTCCGTATCATGATGGTCAAAGTTGACAAAATTGCACTCTTCACCTACCAAGGGAACCGATCACCTATTATCCAGATCAAAGGCCTGTAATAAAAGAAAACATCAACACCAAAGTCAGCATGGATAAGCAATTGAAAAGAATTCCAAGGATCAACAATTTTTTCATTTTTATTTTCAAATCTTCTGATTCAGTGTCATTTTTTATAGCATGTGCCAAATTTTTCGATTCATGATTTGAATATACGTAGAATCCTGAAACCATCTCAAGCTTATTGTTCACCAATATCTTCAGTTGCCCTTTGGGATTAAAATTCTTCAGTTGGATGATTTAAACTAGGTTCACAAGTAGGTGGTTCTATTATCTGACTAAAAAGCAAGGCTGTTATTCTCAAGGTAGTTGTAGACCAGAATTCTATGATCTTCATCCACACAACAGCCATAGAGCTTGACTAAATTTTGGTGCTCTATATCTGAAATCACTCTAATCTCTGTCAAGAACTCCTTTACTCCTTGACTTGATTCAGGTGAAAGACCCTTATAGCAGCAATATTCCTATTTTTTAGCCGTCCCTAACCATCAATAAGCAAATTTTATTTGAAAACAAGGTGTTAGTCTACAAAAGCAAGACCATAAATTAGTATTTTATTATATGATGATAAAGCAAGCATTCTTGTGGAAATATGTCAACCAAATATACGCCTATTACCTTATGATCCATGCTTTCTAGAGCTAGCAGGGCATCATCGTGACTAGTGTACTGAATAAAAGCAAACCCCTTCGACCTCTTCACCTTTTCATCCATAACAAGCTTAACTGTCAGTGCAACTAGATAGAATTAGCAAACTTGAAGCATGTAATGGAACAAATAGGTAGACAGGACACTTTCTTTTTCTTCTTTTCATGAACCAAGGAAAAAAAATATATGATTAAGAAGTGCATCTTCATCGAACTTAGCACAGAAAACTGCTGCAAAATGAACTCCCAATCCAAATACAATACCGGACTAGTAGTGCAGCAGAACATCAAAACCAGACTCTCTCAGCACTGCCTCACTCCATTTTGTAATCCAAGAGCATAACAAAACAGATCAGCAATGATGCACAGAACAAAACCACTAAGTCCCACCTCTCTTCTAATAAGAGACATGATAACATATTTTTTCCATCTAAAATGCTAATGAATTAATAATAATAAATTAATAAATTTTATATGAATTAGAACTTCCCAGCTCATCTTGTTTTGACAGGTCATAAGTAGCACAACACTCATAGATTTCTTGTAGAATGATGACAGAACATGAAATATGTAATATAAAAACATTCTGTAGCTGTTGCCAATAATACATCCCCAACCAAACCTAATAGTCTCATTTCATAGAAACAATAAAAGTCAAATCACTTACCCCTGGTTTGTATTTTATGTCAATTTGATGCATATAGTTCTAATTGTATCAATTTTATTTTTGAAATTTTGACATTGTATCAATTTAGTCCAATTTTTAATAACTTTTTAGCTATTAGATTGAAATCAAGAGGCAAAATAGATAGATCAGCAAGTGAAACTAAGAATCAGTAAATAATCAAAGAACAACATGCTTGCCCACCCTTCATGTCTCAAATGAATCTGGCCTCTGAATACTAGCAAACAAATGAAAACTACAATTGAATCAGTAAATAATAATCAATGAACAACATGCCTGCCCTTCCCTCATGTCTTGAATGAGCTTGGTAAATCACCGAGCAGAAATTCTTTACCCCGTTTAATTTTTAGATGAAATCATCTCACCATCTCCTCAACTCCTGATGAGCACGAAGCAGGGCCTCCTCGTGTCTGCTTTGTATTGTAAGAGTTGCATTTTACACACTTATGTGCCACAATGTGAAAATTTACCTCAGATGTCTCTCCACAGTCATTGCAGAGGATCCAAACCTAATCAGTTGCAACACCAAATTGTTAATACGCGGAATGACAAAGTCAGAGATACGCAGAGTTGCAGATTAGCTATCATATGACATCTTTACCATCTTATTTTTGTACAATTGAGGCATGGGTGTCAAAGCAACCTGAATTTTTTTTGTTGAATAGGTCAGTCGGGATACAACCCACGTTGCAAATAAATACAATTAAGGTAAGTATAGCATGATATCATTGGTATACCTCGTGATCAAGCCTTTGCCACACTTGAGACATGTCGCAATATGATTTTGAACAAACGGGGCATGAATACCTGCAAACTTGAGTTAATATGAAAGGTATTTGCAGAGAAATATGAGTTTATTTAAATAAGGAAAATAATATAGTTGCTCTATTTTCTCATTTACTTACTGGAAATGCTGTTCCAGCTCCTTCACGCATTGCAAGTGTATAGTGTGCCCACAAGGCAAGACTGTGATGTCTTTTGTTGTCTCAAAAAGATACTGCACAAAGAAATGGATCAACTTAGCATGAACAAACAGTTTGCAGATCTATTGTTCCCTTTTAAGTTGTTTTTAAGTTTACCTCAAAACAAACAGGGCAATTATGGTGCATTGCTTTTTCTATGCAGATATGCGAATCCTTCATCAACCTTGAATAGCAACAACCTGAAGTAGAAAGAACAAATTTCCCAAAGCCATCACTTCATGAACAACTTTTTTGTAGTTTTTTTGTTATTTTTCCCAACAGAAAGAATGATAAAACAACCATGAACAACAGAAAAGAAAAGGGTACACAAATGCTATTCATATAGGTGCTTACCACATTTATTACAATGGAAAAAGTTCTCTTTGCCTCCAGTTCTGAGATTTGAAAACATAACAAAAATTAATTAGATAAAATGGAATTCATTAAGAAAGTAACTATTTAAAGTACTTTAAGATGGTGTAGCCAAATTAAAAATATATATATATAAAAAAATTGAATGCATTATGAAGGAAAATAAAAACTAACTAAAATGCATTATAAGGGAAGTTAGAAAAGAAAGAAACCAGAAGAAAGAAGGGGGTCCAGAAAAAATATGAACTGTAACAGAAATGAAAAGAAAATGGAATAACATGATAAAGATTTTAACCTGCAGATTCCACATTTATCACAATGGTATTGATTCTTCGAAACCTAGAGATAGAAATCGTGTTGTTTAAGCAAGTATATAATAACTAGGCTTGAATTTTTTTTTTAAACAAATTCTAACAAAGAGGCTTACATCATCGTCAAAAAATTTGCATTTTGAGCAATAATACTTCCCCATGCAAACCCCACACTGGATGCAGTTTTGTTGAACCTGAAACGAGAAGGTAGAAAGCTTAAAACCCATTGCATGAATTTTACTTTATTCCCACAATTTTCTTGGCCTTTTGATAAATGTAGCCCATATGGGAAAAGCATTGCTCGCTTTCTACCTTGTTACTAGAAAAAAATAATAATTCTAGTGCTTTTACTTTTATCATTATGTAAGCTTTTCAGCAAGGAGACTTACATCTTGTTCTGTGTGACACAATGAGCAGATGACCTGAATACAAATATAGAGCACACACAAATTTAGATTAGTGTTTGAATTCTATGTTATAATCACTACAAACATTAAGTATATATGTAAAAATAAATAAATAGAAGAAAAAGAAACCCGGGTTGCAAAATATGCAGAAAAAGATATGAAAAGTAACCAAGGAAAGAAACAAGAGATGGTTGATGAAACCTTATCCACAGGGAGTTGCATCTTGTGATTTAATTTAACCCCTATCGTTTCCAGGCAAAACTACATTTTCAAAGACCAAATGTTGTATCACAGAATCCATGGGATCCCAAAATAGCCCCAAAAAATAAGATTCCCATTTTCAGCACGCCCCCCCTAAAAAAAAGAAAAAAAAGAAAGAGGGTAATAACAAAAAAATATGATATTTTCCCTTTCTCCTTATTTGTCTCTTAGTCACAACATCAAAAATAGGACGAAACAAAATGAACTACAGAACAGAATTCACAGGTCAATACATGTATTATGGAGTATAATTGTGACAAACAAGAAAGAGAATAACACACTAACCCTTTTTAATTCATGCCGAGGAATGTCATGCCGATTCAGAGGATTAACTTCAAGCGAATTCTGTTTGAAAATACCAAATCAATTTTTTTTTTTTTTTATGTTTTAGTTTGGTTTTGAATACATAAAGAAACTAAAACTACCAACACGAATTTCATGCCAATTGAGATGATCAATTTCTAGCAAATTATGTTAAAAAATACCATGAAATTACTTCTTTTTTTTTTTTGGCAGGACAAAAACAAACTAAAACTAACAACATTAGTAGTAGCAGTAATATTACTTGAAAAAACTTTAAAAAATTAAAAGACCTTGGATTCATTATGGCAATGCCTGCAATCAAATATCTCATCACAACAAGGTGCTCTGATCTTGCATCTCCTTCTGTAATGTGAGCACCTGACAATTATATATACACAAATATATATTATGTCCAAATTTTAACAGAAAAAAAAAAAGAAAAAAAAAAGGACAGAGAATCTAAACAAACAAATAGGTTAGAAATTGTAAATATTTAAAAAAAAAATTAAAAAAAATTAAAGAATTACCCAAAACTTCCAGATCCCATCTCCATCAAAGACTCATCTTCCGACCCATGAGAGGTGTTGCTCATCTGGGGATCCAAACCATTCTCCATTTCTGGGTACGCCCAAAATCTACATCAAACCCACATCATAAAAAGCCAAATTAAGATTAGGATATGCAAATACCAAAACCAGTATAAATCATATATAACAACAAAAAAAATGGGAAAAAAGAGATAAAATCGGACCCAGAAAGCTGAGAAAAAAATGGGATTTTGTGGGAGAGGTGAGGAGTATGAGAGAAACGAAGAGTCCAAGGCTATTAGGTAGCCTTGTGATTGTGAATAAGGGGGGTAGATTTGAGGAAGACGACAAGCCCTCCATTGCTAATAAGCTCCAAGTTCGGTAATAATTTGGAAATTACAGATCGACCCCGGTTTCACCACTGTTTCTTTCACTCACACCCTCCTGCTGTCTCTCTCTCTGTCTCTCTCTCGTAGATGATGACGAGGCAACAAGCCATCGTTTGCCGGCCAATCCAATTATTAACATTTTTATATTTAAAATGATGCAATTATTAACATGTTTTAAATTTTATTAATAAAATTAAATTAATTTTTTAATATTTTTTATAATATTCATTTAATATACACTGTATAAAAATTTTAAACATCCAAAGTTACTCCTTAATAGTAAAATTTAGAGGGTTAATTATACTTTTAACCTTTTTAATTTGATCTAAATTTTTACTTTGATCCTTATCATCTTAAATTACACAATTCATTCTTTACATTTCAGATCTAGTTTCAATTTGATGCTTTTGCTTAAGTTAGAAATTAAAATTAAAAATAAATTATAAATACAACCTCTGAAATTTGCTTAATACATAAATTACCCTTTATGCTTTAAAAAATTATAAATATCTCATTGTCAGAATTTTATTTAATAGAATTAACTGAAAAATAAAATTTCTAACTGCTCTTCTATACAATAATAAAATTATATGAATTATAAATTAAAATAAAATTTTGATATCATTAAAAACTATTAATTTACTTGATAATTTATTAATAAAATGAGTCAATTGTTATGAAATTCGAAATGTCAAGGCCGAGATGTAATTTTTAAAATCATAGAGGACAATTCGTATTTAAAACAAATATCAAGGAGTATATTTATAATTTTTCTAAAATTAATTATAATGCAATACTTGTCAGTTTTTTAATATATATCTAAGAAAAATTAAAGAAAATTCGAATGAAATAGCTAAATAAAATTGGGATTTTTATTGATAAGTCCAATTTAGAAGTGTTTTAACCCAAGAAGTCCATGAAGGAATTTTTTAACCCATTTAGTTCCATGTATGTATAGTTTTATTCCATAAAGTCCATTTTCTTGATTTACACTATTTTCTTGGACACTTATGCCCTTATATTTAATTTTGATACCCTTATAAATATTTTTTCAACGATTAGCAATTTAATGATGTGAACATTCATATTTTAAAATTCACATTTGTAGGAATGTAAATTGGCCGGTGGGCGGCCCGAAACCCGCCCGCGAACCAGGGTGAGCCCGGTTCGTTGACAATGTGAATATTCACATTGATATGTTAAAATTTACATTAATAGGAGTGTAAAATTGGCCCATGACCCGTGGGCGGCCCGAAGCCTGACCGCAACCAGAGGTAGGTTTGGCCCGACCCATGACAATGTGAATATTTACATTGACATGTTAACATGCAAATTGATAGGAATGTAAAATTAGCCCGCGCTCCGTGGCTGCCCGAAACCCGTCCACGGCCCGTGGACGGCCCGGGGGGGCCCAGCTCGGCCTGTTGACAACGTAAATATTCACATTGACATGTTAACATTCACATTGATAAGAGTGTACAATTGGCCTGTGATCCGTGGACAGCCCGAAGCCCGACCTCGGGCCAGGGCGGGCTCGGCCCGTTGACAATGTGAATGTTAACATTGAAATGTTAACATTCACATTGATAGGAATGTAAAATTGGCCCACAGCCCGTAGGCGACCCGAAGCCTGATTTGCAACCCGAGGCGGGCTTGGCCCGACCCGTGACAATGTGAATATTCACATTGAGATGTTAACATTAACATTGATAGGAGTGTAAAACTTGTCCGCTGCCCGAAGCACGCCCGCGGCCCGGGGTAGGCCCGGATCCAAACCCGGGCCACCCCGGACCGCCCACGGGCTTCGGATCGCCCATGGGACGCGAGTCAATTTTACACTCTTATCAATGTGAATGTTAACATGTCAATGTAAATATTCACATTGTCAACGGGCCAGGCCAGGCCGAGTCGGGCCCGTCCTAGGCTGCTGTCTAGTTTTATACTCTTATCAATGTGAATGTTAACATGTCAATGCGAATATTCACATTGTCAACGGGCCAGGCCAGGCCGAGTCGGGCCCGTCCTAGGCTGCTGTCTAGTTTTATACTCTTATCAATGTGAATGTTAACATGTCAATGCGAATATTCACATTGTCAACGAGCCGGGCCGGGCCAGCCCTGGGCAGCGGACGGGTTTCGGGCCGCCCACGGGCCACGGGCCAATTTTACACTCCTATCAATATGAATGTTAATATGTCAATGTGAATATTCATATTGTCAACGGGCCGAACCGAGCTCGCCCCGGGCCGCCCATGGGACGTGAGTCAATTTTACACTCTTACAATGTGAATGTAATATGTCAATGTGAATATTCACATTGTCAACAGGCCGGGTGGGCCCTCCTCGGGCCGTCCATGGGCCGTGGGCTAGTTTCAGAAAGCGCCACGGGTCACGGGCTAATTTTACACTCTTATCAATGTTAATGTTAACATGTCAATGTGAATATTTGCATTATCAATGGGTCGGGCCGGGCCCGCCCAGGGCAGCCCACGAGCCGCAGGCGGGTTTCGGGCCGGCCACAGGCCGCGAGCTAATTTTACACTCCTATCAATGTGAATGTTAACATGTCAATGAGAATATTCACATTGTCAACGGGCCGGGCCGGGCTCGTGCCCGGGCTTCGGGCTGCCCACGGGTCATGGGCCAATTTTACACTCTTGTCAATGTTAATGTTAATGTTAATATGTCAATGTGAATATTCATATTCTGAACGGGTCGGCCCGGGCCCGCCCCGGGCGACAAGCTGATTTCGGGCCGCCCACGGACCGCAGGCCAATTTTACACTCCTATCAATGTGAATGTTAACTTGTCAATGTGAATATTTATATTATCAACAGGCTGGGTCGGGCCTATTTTTTTGGCTTGTGGGCCGGCCCGGCCCGACTCGAATTTTTCCGGGCACCCACGAGGATTGACATGAGCCAGACCCCTACACATTGACGATATAAACATTTATATTGACAGTGTGAACATTCACATTAAGGGTATTTTGGTAATTATGTCACCCATTGGACTTATTGAAATATAATAAAATAATGTGAACTAAATGGAACATAAGTAGATGAAAATGATATTTTGGTCTTCCTATCTCAAATTGGACCTAATGGAATAGTAAAAAAAAATATGAATTGAATGGAATAAAACTCTTAGAAAATGGATTTATCAAAAAAGCTCTCAACAAAATTTACACCTAAAATGAAGGAAACAAATTATTCAAATTAAAATCATAAAAAAATAAAATAAAATTTAAGTCAAATTATAAAAATAAAAAATTGTAATCAACCCAAATTTATGTTATAAAATGAAAAAATGACAGTTTTTAAGGCCATCGATAATTTTAAAAATGTGTAAAAATTGTATTAAAATTTTAAAATTTTCTTTTATACTTGTTTATGATATTGGCACGACTCTACATAAATAAATAAATAAATATCACCAAACATATAAGAAATAGGAAAACTTTGGAACGTGGCATCGTATTATTGGCCTTTTGCTTCTATTAGGGGAAAGCTAGAAGAGCTAACTAAAAAGGGGAGGAAGCACTTTACGTAAACCAGCTGGAAAGAAAAAATCGATTTTTCAGCGACACGAAATCGCTAGCCTCTTATATTTCCTCTTCTCCAAGAATGGGATTCTCCGTAATAATATTTAGGGGTTGTTTGGAATGACCTAAATAAGTGTATTTTTTATCTTTTTATGAAAAGATGTATAAAAAAGTAGAGAAGTGATATGATAGAAAAAAGATAAAAAGTGCGTACTTATTTTGAGTAGCCAAACTTGGCCTTAATTTATTCATAATAATTTTATACTAAGCCTCCGTTTGGGAAGTGGGTTGACTTTTTAATTTTTTGACTTTTTGATTATTTTAGCCTGGGCTTATTTAGCCTGATTTGGGGAGGACTTTTTGACTTTTTTGATTTTTTTTGTGAGAGAAGATTGTAATGATTATGGGTTGGATTTGATATTTTATTTTTTGTGGCTAAAATAGCCTATTTTGTTTTTTATGACTATTTTAACCAAAAAAATCTGACTTTTTTCTTCCCAAACGGAGCCTAATAAATATGGTTAACGTGTGCATTTAAATCACGTGTTAAAAGGTTTTAAAGAACTCATTTGAAATGTGGATTGATTTTTTAATTATTTTAATTTAGGGTTAAAAATTTTGTTTGTATAGATTTTTTAACTTTTGCAAAAATAATAAAATGATTGTGAATTAGATGTGACATTTTATTTTATTTGACTAAAATAGTCTATTTTATCTTATGTGGCTATTTTAATCCCAATGAAGTATCCCAAACGTGGTATATATATTTTATACTTATTACTTTCTTGCAGAATATATGATTTCTTAAATTTTTTTAACATATACTTTTTAAACACAAATTAATATTTAAAAAAAAATTAATAATCGTATTTTAAGTTTAAATATTGTTTTAAACTTAAACCTTAGTGCAAGAGTAATTATTATAAATAATAATCATATTTCAATTCGATAATTATTTAAGCCATTTAAACTCATTCTAACTTGTCTTCCTTACGTTGTGTTTTGTTAGGAGATTTGTGAAAGAATTTGGAAAGAAAAAGAAAAATGGTAAGTGAAATATGAATAAAATATATCTATATTTCACCTAATTTTACACACTTTTTCTCTTTTCTTTTTAAAATTCATTCCTAAATCATCCAACCAAATACAGCGTTAATCTTCCTAGATGACTCCATTCTTACCCTCCTTAGCTTCACTCCTTAAGGATTCGTTTGGATGTGGGTTGACTTTTTGGCTATTTTAGTCTGTGGCTAAAAAGTCTTGTTTGGAATGGAATTTTTGACTTTTTTGACTTTTGTGAAAGAAAAAAATGTAATAATTATAAGTTGGATGTGATATTTTATCTTAGAGCATCACCATCAGCCTCTCTACAATGGCTTTGAAGGTATTGTAGAGAGCAAAAGCTGTAAATATCAGCTCCATCAGACTCTCTAAATCTTCATTCATTTTGTGGATGCTACAGTGCTTCAACTGATTTGTTGAGGCACTGTTTATACGATAAACTATTTTTTATTATATTTTTTAGAGCAAAACTGGGTTAAACAGCTGTCACGCCCCAAACTCGCCCCTAGGAGTTTGGCAACGAGACCGGCCAGCAATCCTAGATTACCACAGGCCTTACTATACAAAACATAAATAAAAAGGGGCTCGCGGAAGCGAAAACAATAACCACTAATAGTCCAAAGAGCTGTGCATTTATATGAACATACATTACATGCCAAAAAATGTTAATTTACCCACTACATTACATCACATATAATCAAAATTCATGTACAAAACATAGGCTCACGCCATATGCACAACCAAAACTAAGCTCACAAAACGGCCTTTCAGGCCTAGCCCCGGCTCGGAGCACACAAAACACTTGGTAGGCTTCAAAACGGCGGCTCGGCTCGGACTCCGCCTAGGCTTGACTTCCAGAATGCTCACCTATAAATACATATATACAAACAATGAGCTAAAGCTCAGCAAGTAACACAACAGTAAAGAGGTTAGTGAACGAAGTCCGACATTTTCATAAATCCATAATAAATCAATCATAAACATATATCAGTCATCAGTCATCATAAGAACATACGTAATGGCATACTCCACAGAACCTTTCATAACAGTCTATCAGTCAACAGTCTACGAGATCTCGTAACTAGTCATGGGCTTGTCCTTCCATGCCGTTCCCCATGACTCATGACGCATGGGCCTGCATGTTCCCGCCCCCATGACCCAACTATCTATGGATGCCATACTAGATTCACAAACTGGACATTCGTTCACAGAAAACATTCTCATTTCAAAGCATAGCATAACGTAATAATATTTCCAGCGCATAGGTAACGTTGCTAACATCACAATAGATAATAAAATCATACCTGTATTCGCTTTTCCAGTATTCTGTGTCTTTTCTGAAACTAGGGTGAAAACCCTTCCTTGCCTCAATGTATTCCCCTCAGAAGCAGATGTTACGTTTGTCTTTGGTGTCATTGTTGAGTTAACTCCACTAGCAATGGGTCCTTCATTTCTTACATAAACTTGTGGGCAAGCTTTAGCTATATGTCCTTTTTGTCCACATTTCCCGCTCGAGCGCCACTTTGGCCGCTCGAGCGTACTGTAAAAAGTCCCAAACTGCTGGGAGGCTGTTTTTCACGCTCGAGCGGGAATCCCTCTGCTCGAGCGGACCATGCAAAAATCTGAAATTCTGGTTCTTCTTCCAAGCTTGAATCTCCTTTTTACAAAATCACTTTCCACATTTATGAAATCCAAGACCCAAAATACTTGAAACACAACTTGAATTACACATTATAGCTTCTAAACAAACCCAAATGCATCATATACAAGATCAAACCATGAATTGAGGTGAAGAATCATAACTATTCATGTAAAAGCTTTATTTCTTCATATCCATGGAGGTTCTTCCTCAAGAATGCCAAATATAAACATAAATCATCTATTCATGCCATACATGCTCAAATTAAACATATTTCCCCTTTCAATCTCTTATTTACCATGAGATCATTGATGCATCAACCTTACTTCAAGAATTTAGAGAAGATCCTTACCTTGATCACTTAATTGAGGAAGATTTAAGCTTGATTTCCCCATTTTCCTCTATCTTCTTCTCCTTGGTTTCTCTCTTCCACGAATTCTCTCTCTCTCTCTCTCTCTTAGATATTTTCTTTCCTTCTTTTTGAGTCAAAGAGTCAACATCCTTATCTATGTATAGATATATCACACAAAAACTAGAATTGTGCCATAATCTTGAGCCAAACATGACTTAGCGATTCAGACGAAATTCAGTCCTCAATTTATTTTCCCAAATGGCTCTAAAAATTCCCGGTATCACATAGGCGTGCTCAATTTCGTTTTCTGAACCCATTACGGTCATCAATTTCAGTCCCAAAGTTCTCATCTCAACAGATATTCTTCTAATTCAAACAGATATTCTTCAAATAATTCGCATAAACACATAATTAATTACCGATAAATATGACACATGTTTTGGGGTCATTACAACAGCCATGGCCGGTCGTCTACCAGGATGTCTTCCCGATGTCCCGTGAGTGCCCTATAACAAAGAAAGAAAAATGCTTAAATTTGGCCTGACTAGTCGACCACCCCTCAGTGGATTCGGCCTCCTGTGTTGCTGCTGCTCTGCTGTTGTTCGGGTGTTGATCTGTTGTTATCTTGAGACTTGTTTATGCTTGTTTGTTCACAATATTTTAATGAAATAAAATTTTAGAATAGAGAGTTTGATAGAATGTATATATAAAAAAGAGACTAGTTAAAATACAAAAATAAATTTTAAATTATAATTTTGCTCAAAATTTATTGAGACTCTTATCAAACTAAAAAATCTATTTTATTTCCCGAGTTTTTTCTTCCCAAATGAGCACTAAGTACACCGTATATATAATAGCACGACTCATATGCCATACACAATTGCATGTTTTTTTTTTTTTTTTTCATCTAACTTTGGGAAGGGATGTCCTATGTAGCGCTGCCCTAGGCTAAGACTGTATGATTTGTGCTTAGGGCTTCAAAAATTAAGTCCAAAAATAGACTCTCAAATTTAGTCTTGCACTATATTAAAAATTTTAAATGGTCCAATTTTGTTTAATTAATTTAGGTCATTTTAAAGGGGGCTTTAAAAAATCTATTTGGCCCAATTGATAAAAAGGTCCAATTAAAAAATACTTATAAGTTTTAGTTGTTAGTTCAATTAAAAAAATAAAATATAAAATATATGAATATGTATTAGCCGTTAGCCTAATTTTGTGTGACCTTTTTTTTCTCTTTCTTTATGGCCCAATTATATATTTTTTAGTATTTTTTTAAAAAAAATATTTTACACAATTTTTATTTATTTATTTTGTAGATACATCTAATTTAGATAAGCTTAAAAATTATAATATTTATATTTTTAAATTTTTTTTTACAAATACAAAAAATATAAAAAAAATACGAATTGCAAACTCAGACAATTATTTTTAAAAATTCTAAACTAAATAGAGTGATTTTTATTTTTATTTTTTATAAATATCTAAAAAGATTCTGAAAAATTATTTTACCTTAGACCCCCAGAAATTCAGGACCGCCCTGATCTTATGCGATAAAATTCAATTTCTTCAAGGCATCAAGAAGTGTGCAAATGGAATTGATAAAATCTAGATTCAAACCACAAACCACTTTCGAATATCCACATATCTCGTAGGATTTAATTTAGAATGAATATCTTCATTATAATGCATAAAGTTATAACAGAAAATTGAAATTTTAAACTAATAGTCTATAATTGGTAAGTCCATTTGAAATTTAAAATCTCACCTAACTATTTTTCCATTTAAAATAAAAATATATTTTGCATAACCATTAATCATAAACTGGACAATTCTATTTTATTCATGTTATATGGAGAATCAAAAACAACAATTTAGAACACAAAGGTGTCGTTTGGTAACACTTACGTTTTCAGTTTTCTATTTATATTTACAAAAATTTTAAAAACTCAAATAAAAACTTGTTTGGTAAATTCTACCGTTTATAAATCATGCTACCACCAACTGCCACCACCACTCACCACCCACCCGCCACCACCCACCACCTTCACCCACCCACAACCACCACCCACTACCACCTGCTATCCACCACCTACCGTCACCACTTTCCACCACCGTCTTCCGTCACCACTTGCCATTTCTCACTCTTTTTTATATTTTTAAATTTTTTAAAACATTTTTTCAATTACTAAACGCATTTGTAGTTTTATGTTTTTCTAAAAATAAACAAAAAACAATTTATAAAATTTTTATAAATATAAACTGAAAATGTAAATGTTACCAAACAGACCCAAAGTATTACATTATGGAATGAATATCTCCATTTTGTAAGTGTATGAAGATATCCATTTTGTAAAAGTACCACGTTTATATATATTTATTTTAAATTAAGAACAGTAAATAAATTTTTAAAAATTCAAAATTTTTGATATTAAATTTTATATTCCGGTTTGTAGACTGGACTGCATGGTCCAATCTAGCCCATTAGGCCCATTATACTTATCGTTTCCATAATTTACTTTGTTTATTTTTAAGCCTTGACGCGTAGAGCAATTATAGATTTTTTTTTATTTATTTTTTATTTATTAACTTGATAATTAAAGCCTCATGGTTTTATTATTTTAATGTTCAAAAAATGAAAGATCTATATACAAAACCATAATTGCCATCCAGTTTTTAAAGGTAAAGATGATAGAATGATGTAGCTATATTTATCCAATCAATTTCAGTTTTTTTAAGAGAATCCTATTCCTAAATTTTAATATTGTCTTGCAATTTTATGATTTAAAAAAAAAAAAACACACGCAAAACAAAACTTCACTCTATAAATCCCTCCTAGCGCCTTCACTACTTGACTTTGTAAAATCCCAACCATTCTTTGTCTTCGTCAACACATGATCACTATTCGAATGCGGCATTATTGATTGTAGAATCCCAGTCGTCTAAACTTGAGGATCTCAAACTCATCAATGGTCGGAAATTAAAGATGCTGCATAATATTAAACTAACCATGGCTTAAAGACGGATATAATTATATCACATTGATATCTTGGAGTCTTCGCAGCAAGGCCGGACTGACGATGATGATTCTGCAACAACATAATTGTGTTGCTTATATTTTAATTCGGGAGATTAAAATATTTGTTTAAATCCAGCTCATTAAGAATGTCATTAGAAAAATTATATAAATAGTAAAACTTGAATTTTTGGTATCACCTTTGAATCCCACAACAACCATAAGAGGAAGAGGAAGAGGGAGAAGAATGATTAAGCTTCATTTCTTTCTCCTTCATATTGTTACTGCATTTGCTCTTATTTTCCCACCATTTTGCAGTAAGTACCATTTATGAAAAAAAGACAAATATATAATTTAAATTTCTGTTATTTTTTTCTTTCTGTTATCCTTTCATTCCACAAATCCTATTCAAATGTAAGATTCAAACACTGCCTTAAAATAATCTGATTTAATTAGTTAGGGAAGATGATCTTGTAAATAATTGACTATGCCCAAGCTTTAAATATTGGTGATATGATATGTATTGAATTTTTTTGGAAACTATAAATTAGTGAAAGATGAGACAAATAATTACAAAGAAGGTGAGAATTTTTGCTTCTTTTATTTTTGTTTTTGTTCTTTTTTTTTTTACACGAAAAAACTTGTCCAACGTATATTTTTAATTTATTTTGGTCAAACATTGTATATTTTACTTTCTTATATTGAATATCAATAATAAAAGTGGAACTAAAAATCAAATGCTTATCGGTTGATTCACTAAATGTATTATTTCATGGCTCAATTCACAGTCGATACAGCTAGTTTATTGTCGATACAATTATTTTTTTCGATTTGAAATTTTAAAAAACTCACAACCATATGACTTAATTCTTCATTCGGATGGCGGAATACAACATCAACATTATACTATGACTGATATTGATTAGTCTGTCGAGACTACTACTTAAATCCGTACCTATGTACGTTTTTACACTTTCATCTTCTTAACAACCATTTTTTTCTTCTATGCTTCAGATGGGAAGGTAATGATGGAGTACATCGGTGCAACCGGCAAACCAGTAACCTTTGACGCGGTCCCAATCGAACCAAACATTACCTTTCATTTCATCCTCAGCTTCGCCATCGACGCAGACCCCTCCGGCAACCCCCAAAACGGCACATTCTCACCCTACTGGGTCCCAACCCTAACCCCAGACTCCATCGCCGCCATCAAATCCACCCACCCAAACGTCAAAGCTCTAGCCTCCCTCTCCGGCTGGAGCCTCCAAAACAAAGTCCTCCGATGGTACACCCCATCAAACCCCCAACTCTGGATCTCCAATGCCTTCGCTTCCCTCAAATCCATCATCACCACATACCACCTCGATGGCATTGACGTAGACTATGAAAACTTCCCAAAACACACCGAGAGCTTCGCGTACTGCATCGGTGAACTCATCACCCTCTTAAAGAACCAAAGTGTTGTAACCGTGGCGACTATCGCGCCTTTTTATTCCACTTCAGCGCCTTACGTGGATCTTTTTAACCAATATGGCAATGCCATTGACTATGTGAATCATCAGTTTTATACTGATAAGGTCAAAACTCCGCAGGCATACTTGGAAGCATTTAGGAATAGGACGGAGATGTACGGTAAAGATAAGGTGTTGCCTAGCTATGAGGTGGATGGGAGAGGGATTCAAGGGGATGCTTTTTTTGTAGCTTTGGATCTTTTGGAGGAAAATGGGTTTGATGTGAATGGTGTGATGATCTTCTCTGCTGATGCTTCTGCTTCCGGTGGGTATTGCTATGAGAGGAAATCTCAGGCTTTCTTGCTCAACTCTACGAGTAGTGCTTGATTTGGTTTCTTTCACGCTTGTAATAGGTTCAATTAAAACCTATATTGGCCCTGTTTGACATGTTTTTAAATTTTTTTTTTTGAGCTAAAATAGTTAATAAGATAAAATGTCATATTTAATTCAAAATTATTTTATTTTTCTCTTACAATCGTCAAATCAAGTAAAAAAAATCAATAATCTTTCCACACCTATGTAATAGCAGTGCTTGAGAGTGGTTATTGTCTTTGGAGAATAGTATTTTATGTAATGAGTTTTTCACGTAATTCGTAATTCAATTTGTTTATTTATTGATTTTTGTAGGGTAAATGCGAGATTTAAAAAATTACTTTGTATTCTGCCTAAGTTTGCAAGTGTTTCACTATTCCGGTCTTACTTTTGTCACATTAATCAATGAATAAAAGGGTATATCACAGAAAAAATATTGAGTGTTTTTAGAGCGGTACGTGTTAATATTTTTTATTAATTATTATATATTTTAAAATTTTTAATCATCAAATATAAAATCATAAATTTCACTTTTTTTATCCATCACAATATCCTATAACACCACTTTCTTTATCAATTATAACACTTTAGAGCACTACTTAATTGTATTATAAAAACACACAATAATTACTTGTATATCACATCAACTCAGTTTTGACATAGTCATTGCATGAAATACTTTGTCATTGTTTTAGTGGTTTATATTTATAAATATTTAAATTATTGGAAAATAATACTTTACGAAATTTTATTGTGGACTCTATCTCATCGAATAAAGATGTAAATAACATATCTTAGATTAGCAAAAATTATCATATGAGGTGGGAATACCACATAGTCATATGTTTATTTAATGATATTTTATTATTTCTTCATCATTTCTTTATTATTTAGACCTTTATTATTGATTAAGTACGCCATCAGCTTGAAATTACTCATAGGTCTAGATGTGACGATCCCGCCGCGTATAATATTTTACATTTAGTTAATTAAGGTGATTTGGATTTTAATTAGTTATTGTGGAGAAGTGGTTTTGAAAATACTCTTTTGATCCATTAGGACGCTCGAGATCCTCAACTAACAACCTGAAAAGGAATAAACACTCCGGTCGGGGATGCCAGAATTAGCACTCCGACGGATAAGTCAGTCTATACTCTCTTGATTGCTTGTATCTTAAGTTAAGTGTACTAATTCTCACATACCTCTTTTTGGATGATATTCTTCTATTTATATCTTTTCTTTCTTGGGCTTCAAGGTTGAGCCCACCTTCAATTCGTCGTATATCTATTTACTCGGCTCCTTTTGTTGCAAGTCGCACTTCACTCGGTCCCTTACTCAACTGGTTATTTGGCCGAATAGGGTACCTCTGGATTTGTGTATAAGACGAAGCCGAATGCGATATATGAATTTTGACTCTCCAGGTCTAACTATTCGACCTCTTTACGTCTCCCGATATTCAGCCCCCACAATTGCCCCCCAAACACTCCACTAACGACAGTTAGCTAGTGTGTTTGGTTTCGAACTCGAAAAGTCAGAGCCGAAATTCGACGGTTAACCTCATTCCAACACGGATGTCAGAGCACACGCCTTTCGATCATCATTGCAACTTCTCGCCCTTTCGTATGCTTCCATTTATTGTGATTTAAAATTTTGTCATCTTTTCAAATACATACACATTGTTGAATGCTTGAAGTTTTTGGACTGCCTTCCAACTCACCTCTACAACTTCCTTTTATCCTTCATTGTCCTCTCCGTCTCTTGTAAGTTCTCTTCCTCTCTGCTTTGAATCCCCTTTTCCTGGTTTGTTTTTAGTTTAGCATATTCCTATAGGCTGACGAAAATGGCAAAGCATTTGAAAGACCTTCTCTCTGTAAATCGAGTCTCTGGCTTTCGACGCCATTTTTCTATCCCTGATGACGTCCGTCTGTCACTTGTGACAGACGACACTCTTGATATGGAGAAGGTTGATGAAAACACAATCGTCTTCCCTCTCTTATCAATTGCAGAGGATAGAGTCCGTTTCCCCCTTCATCCACTCCTTAAGGCTGTCCTTCGCCATTGGGGTCTAATCCCTTCCCAACCCAATGTTAACTTTTTTAGAATCGTAATGGGGATTATAGAGTTAAACCGTCGTCTTAGGATTAACCTCGGCATACCTGCTATTCAGCACTATTATGCCTTGGCCAAGTCTTCTGGCCGGCATGGATGCTATTTCCTTAGGGCCAAGGACACCGACCATCAATTAGCGACTATGCTTTCCAGCTCTGGCAAGCGAGTCGATGATGTCATGGTCGTTGTCCAAGGCAACTGGAAATTCGGCGAAGGTGAGGACCGCCTAGATCCTATTCCTAGATAAAGGGGTGAACCAGATGGCCATATAGCTCCTTGCGTTCATTTTTCTTATATTTACAAAGCTTCATTTTTGCAGTCTCATAGTTTTGCTTGTGCAGGGAACAATTTGAAGAAAGTTTTGATTTCAACCGACGACGCCGTTCTTGCGGAAACTGAAGTCGCGCTCAAATACTTCGGCCGTCCAAGCCTTCAGAAACAAGGGAGGGCGGCCCACATTCTTCTTCAATACGAGCCAACGTATACAACGTTCTCGACGGTAGAAAACATCCCAATTCCGAGGGCCGAAGAGTTTCTTACGACTCTTGCTTTAACCAACTTCAAAAACTTGCGGCCAGTTGGTCTGGGCGGATCCGACTCAGAGCAGGCGGAGGTAGCTGGGGTTGCCGAAGAGTCAAACCAGTCCGAAATCGAAGTAGAGGAGGCTTTGAAGTTGGCCTTTGAAGAAGCCGACCTCAATTCAGCCAACCCTCTGTCCACTTCGGGCCGAGGGGACCTTCCTTTTGATGACATTTTTACTCGGTTAGAAGACCTTCCCGGTGCGTACCCCAAAGACATGGCTGGGTTGTCCCTCACAAAACTTGCCAAACAGAAAAATGCCGAAAGAATGGTTGCGCGGAGGAGAACAGAGGCCATTCGATCGGAAGTTCCACCCGCCGCTGATGCTGAGCCCTCCCTGCCTGTTATCGATGAAGAGATGGCTCAAACCTGAAATGTCGAGTCGGAGACGGTTGTGAAGGTGGATCAAGAGGCTGAGCGAAGAGCAGAGAAAAGCCCTGCCGAGTTTGAGGCCGGCTCTGAAGAAAACCAGGCTGACAAACAGGCACATTTAAAAGAGTCGAATGTAGTTGTCCTCTTTGTCGTTCAACCAAAGATAAAAACATGCCGATCTCCTCTGACGCGTCGGCTATGAAAGATCTAGCCGTGGCGTTGAGTATGGCTGCGTCGGACTCATTGCCGACTGACAAAGTGGCGTTCCGGGCAGAGCCGGATCTTTTGGCAATTGCGTTAGCCGCTCAATTGGCTCTTCTGGTATACTCTTTGATCTTGTCTTTCCCTTTTATGCATATATTGTTTTGGTTTTAATTTCTTATTTTGCAGACGGTCGGAAGGACAACCGGGATAGGCCGTCGCCAACATGACGCCATCAAACGAATTGGCCGTTTACAATCAGAAGTTGATGGCCAAAGGAGCAAGGCCGAGTTCGAAGCAGTGAGGGCGAAGATGGAAGGTGTAAGGACCGAGGCCGAGATGGAAAGGGCGAGAAATTCGGACCAGCTCAGATTGGCCGCTGAAGAGAAGGCGAATGCGAGCGAAAATGCGTTCACGTTAGCCTGAGAGGCGATTGCCAAACTGGAGGCTGATTTGGAAAAATCGAAGAAGGCGAAAAAAGTAGCCGACTCTGAGGCTTCCAAGGCGTACGAGGCTGGGCAAAGCGCTGCCCTCGCAAGTTATGTGGAAGAAGTCCCCAAATTTGAAAATCGGGGGTTCAAACACGGCTGGCTCAAAGTCCCTGCTGCTGCTGATGTGAAATTGGCTATGCCAATTCCAAACGAGCAAGTGGACGTTGAGCCGCTGGAGTCTGACTCCAACGATTGATTAGGGCGACATTTTAGTTGTTTTTGTTTAAGGATTTTGAATGTATTGTTATAGTTTTTCGTTTAGTAGTTTTCATGTGTAAAATGACTACAGTTTTTAAGTTTTTGCTAGGCATTTTCATGCGAATTTGTAGCTTTTGTTTAGTAGTTTTCACATGTAAAATGGCTACAGTTTGTGCCCAATTTACTAATGAAAATTTCCTTTGCACTTTGCTATTATTTGTGCTTGATTTTGCTATTGATAAATGGTATTGCTTTTCGCTACTTTAGATAAAACATTTGTGTACACTTGCCGATTAGATAACTAGGCAATTTAGTAATTTATCCTCGTCGAATAGTCGATCAGATTAATAAATCTGCCCTTGCCCCATCCAATATATGAACTTCGAAAGCTAAATATCATTAGTTCATGGAGTGGCCGCGACATAAATCGATCGGTATCGGGCTTAGATATTTGGCCAATCAGATTAACAAATTTGCCCTTGCCTCAGCCAATGTATGAACTCCGAAAGCCGAATATCATTAGTTCATGGAGTGGCTGCGTCACAAATCGATCGACATCGGGCTTAAATATTTGGCCGATCAGATTAATAAATCTGCCCTTGCCCCAGCCAATGTATGAACTCCGAAAGTCGAATATCATTAGTTCATGGAGTGGCTGCGGCACACGTCGATCGGCATCCTTTTAAAGTTTAGCATTAATAAGATCGCCTTAGGGGCGCTGCACGTGTTAGGAATAAATGGGGTGGGTTTTTCGTGCCCGTAATTCCATTTATTGTATTCAGACTCAATTTAAACCAATTTGTTGCGGAAGGTTAGATAAGTGCAAATGTCAAATAGACTGTTCTTCAACAGCAGAGGAGAATGGCGGACATTGGCTGAGCTTGATATGGAAATGAATCACAGCAGCGAGCCCACACGCATGGGAAGTAGGACGTCCAGGGAACGGGAAAAACGTCAGCCCCTAAGTCGTCGAAGCAAATCACCCCAAAGGGAAAAACAGCAACGGGGCAGCTCTCCTCGACCGCAACCGAGAAATGAGTCTAATGCGACGCCACGACCGTTGAGTTTTGTAGTTTTTATGGGGAATAAACCAATGACGGTGGCAGATTCTATTGTTAACGACCCAGGTGTAGCAGTCGAGTTCGCTCGACAGATTTTTCCACCGGAAGTCCAGCAGTCGATGGTTGGTCGACAGGATTTCGAAGTGTTTCGAGATAGCATCCATGGGGCAGTGAGAGGGCTGTACACCGCCTATAAAGTCGGCATACGTCTGCGCGCCACGCGGCGGAAGATAGAGAAAAAGGACGAACGAATTC